GAACCTGGAAGACTGTTGATCTGAAAGATTGGGAGCTTGGCTGTCAGGAAGATCTTGTTCAGTATGCTGTAACATCTGTCCAAGTAAGACTGCTAAGACAGGCAGTCCTTTGAAGTAGCTGTTAGAGAATTTCCATTTTCTCTTTCTTTCTTTCTTTCTTTCTTTCTTTCTTTCTTTCTTTCTTTCTTTCTCTTCCCCCCCCTCTCTTTTTCTTTCTTTCTTAAAAAGTTTGTTCCCAAATCTCTCTCTCTCTCTCTCTCTCTCTCTCTATCTTCTACCTCTCTCCCCTTTTCCATCTCTCTTTCTCTCTCTCTCATCTACCTTCCCAGCATGGCCTACAGCTGGGGAATTCATTGGTGGTCTCCCATCCAAGTGCTAAGCCTTGACCAGGTCAGTTTTCCTCAAATTCAAAAATCAAAGGACTGCCAAGAAATGGGGGGTAGGGGGTGGGGAGACAGTATGAGTAGTTTAGTAAGGGGGGGGGGAAAGGGCAGTGTGACATAAATCTGTATTTGGCTGCCATCGTGTGGTCAGAATGTGCTAGTGTACCTTCATCTTTCTCACATACACCTACATACACACACACACACACACACACACACACACACATATACACGTATGTACATATTCACACACACACATTTATGCACACATGTACACACACACACACACCACACACACAATACAACTTTGGTTTCTTTTAACCAGAAAGCTACTTACTGATATAGAAACTTATTACTCAGAACAGAAGTTACTCATAGACAGATTTTTTTTTCTTGGCTGACCGGAGCATTCTCTTCAGCTAACTGCATCACAAGTCAGCATTTCTCTTTTCTTCAGTATTCCTAGGCTAGACAGGTTATATAAGGAACAAGGGGGCTTTTAATATATTCTCCCCAAGCCTTTTAATATGTGAACATGTTTATTATTTTAAATGTATATGCTGCAGCAAATCTGTGTAACTAATCTGTTTCTGCTGGATATGTTCTTTTTGTTTATAAGTTGGGCTTATAATTCAGTGTTCCCTTGGTTTTGGTTTTCTTAAAAAAGAAGAAGTTGTGATTTTACCACCTTACAAACTGTCCTGGGAAACTTCCGTTTTGAAGAGAAGGAAGGCATCTATGAAATTTAAATAGATACATCACTGCCTGCCATTTCCATCCCTGGCTTCTCTCCAATGCCCTTGCAGCAAATGACTCAACAGCCCCATGTTCCTTCTGCAATTTTGGGTCTAGAGCCCCACACTGATCTGCAGAAGCTCAGCAAGGTTGGAGCTGGTTAGCACTTGGAAGGGAGACCACCAGGAGATCTTAGGCTGTAGGCTTGGCTGGCAAATACATAAATAAACAAATAAAGCAAACAAATCTAGATAAAAACAATAATGAACCCAACCTCCAGCTCAGTGCAGAAACCCAGATTAAAACACCCCAGAGAGCCTCTGTTTGAGCACTCTCAACAGAGGAGACCCTACCACCTCTCTGGTCACTGAATCTACCACTAACTTTTCTTACTGTTCGTATTTGAATAACATTCAAGCAGAGCCTACTTTTCTGGAACTGCATAATTAAAGCCAAATCTTTGCCAAGCCCCCCCACCCCCATCTGTCTATCTATAAAAGGCACCAGGATCTGTGGCCCAGTACTTGATTGGAAAGGATGCTTGTGTGCCCAGGAAAGTGAACCAAAATAAAGCGACTTGGTGGTGTGGAGAATGGCATGAAGCCAAAAGCCCTTCTATGTCTTCCAGGAAACCGGCGTGCTATCTCTGGCTACTAAAATAGACAGCCTTCTCCTGGACTACAGTGGGGGTCCTGTCACAGTGCTGTAGCTCCTTAAGTTTCTTAGCTGGTGATGTGCAAATGGGAGAGGTGGCTTCGCAGGGGCTTCCCTATGCGCTCCAGGGCTATAAACATGCTCTACCCTTCACTTGGATGCGGGTGGCAAGGCTTTGGGCCAGCTGAACCTCCTGGCTTGCTTCCTCCAGCCAGTAAGCACAGCTATAACTTCCAGTGTCATTCATTTGTGCCCGAAGATCCATTATGCCCTGTCTATAAGCATTGGGGGCTGTTTCGAAGATTTGCCGTCCATCTTCTCGGAAGAATCGATAACCTTGCACCGTCAAGTTTTGAAACACCGTCATGTTTCGATAAGCCGAGCAGATGAACCGGATGGCCTCGCCTTCAAAATACTCCTGGTGCTTGGGCTGCACGGAAAGTGTGGGTGGAGGCGGAGGCTCTGCAATTAAAAACAAGGCAACCAACAAATAAATACATTAAAAATAGATGGGTCCAGATGGCAGTCCGCTGAGTTAGCAAGAGAGGAGTCAATCTCAAATCTAGCTTCAAAACTTGGGCTGAGATCCAATCAAAATTATATAAAATTATATAACATGATATAAACTTTATATTTTTATATTTACATAGAGTTGATGTTTAATGTTGTATGATTTGGGAGGGGGGTTAAGGGCTTTATTGTTTACTTGCTTTTTATGATATACCAAGAGTGACACTGTTTGAGTTGGGTGGCCTTATAAATCTTATAAATAAACAAACAAACAAACTTGGGAAAATTCATGTATTATGTAAGAAGGTTGCAAGGTAAGATGGTACAGGTAGTCCTCATTTAGTGACTGCCTTGTTTAGTGACTGTTCGCAGTTATGACAGTGACGAAAAAGTAACTTAGTGACTAATCCTCGCATTTATGACCTTTGCAGGTCTGTAAAGCAAAGGAAAGCTGAAGTCAGATCATAAGCACAGTTACATTTTCACTTAGTGACTGCTTTGCTTAACAACCAAGTTACTGGTCCCCATTGTGATCCCTAAATGAGGACTAACTATATTAGGCAAAATCTCACCTTGTGTTTGAACTGATAAAACTTGCACAATGGTTTAATTTTTTTAAAAAAAAAACAAATCTTCAGAGCTGTAGCTCGGGGCTAAAACTTAGGAAGAAACTGGGTGTCAATAAACAGAGCATGAGTTGCAAATCCAAGTAGAAAAGCTTATTTAATGTAACAAGTGGCCACTTGAATTTAGTTCTTGACTCATCAGTAGTCTTATATTTTGGGATGTATGAGGTCTGATCATGGCCATTGCTAGTGGGGTGTTTTTTCCTCTTTTTCTATCTGAAATTCCTACTATCTGCGATACACAGAAGAGTGGGGAGGCTTCAAGAATGATTCAGAAGAGTTCATAAATAATAACAATAAAGAATGATTCAGAAGACGTGTTTCACACCTTGGGTGTTTACTGAACAAACAAAAGATCAAGAAAAAGTGAAAGATTGCATAGTTAAAAGGGACAGTCCCACCCAGGGGTGGGGTGGGGGAACATTTTCTTTTAAAGCAATGAGAAACGCATGCTATACGTGCCATCTTAAACAGCAAGGAAAACTTTCTGAAGTAAGGCTGTTCAGTGTTTTGGATTCAAAGATTAAAAAATCTGCAGGGAAGCAATTCCCACAACTCCTTAAAGCAAACACATCTTTTGCAGTGTGCAATTCTTGTCTTCACACCTGCGCGCGTTGTGGTATAACTTCTGGTTTTTGATCATAAGGAAGATTTGATTGAATCTGCTGAAAAGGTACGGCTCCTTTAAGGGGCTGCCAGCAGGTCTCCGAGAGACTTCTCTGCATATCTGGAAGCATATTTTTGCCCATGAATTCGAAACTTGATTGTAAACAGCCGTTTTCAACATTTTTAGCCTGAGCTGAATTGGTATAATGTGGTGAGGTTATGAAGGAAACGTTAACTTAGATAAGAAATTACCAGACTCAAATCTATTTGTTAAATGTATTAAAATGTTTGTTCACCAAACTGTTCTTGAGTTAATGGTAAAAATCTTAACACGTGCAAGGATCTCTGGTTTTTTTCTTCTTTCCGTCTTCCAGCCACCCTTTCCTGTAATTTCTGCAGATGTGCTATTGATCTCTTTTGTTTCATTGCTGCCTGGTAGCTAATAATCTTCTGGAAATCATCTCACATGTTCCAGTATCTGCATCGCACAATCATTATACTTAAAAGTGGAGGAAGTCTCACTGCGCAACAGATAATTCCCAACCCTTTGCTGATAACAAATATTTTCTCCCTCTCCTCCCCCCCCCCCCCCCCCACCCGACAGAAGTGCTGAGTCAGGTTCTGAAAGGAGCTGTTGGTGAAAAAGTGTAACAAATGTGAGTTAAAACAGAAAGGAATAAGCCAACATTCCTGTTTCCACTGATGCAAGAAACAGATCATCAATTCTTGGAAAGGCTTGGTTTCTGTTACTGCAGATAAAGACAGAGAAACCACTTACTGAATCAAAGCAGCGATGAATTTTTCACCCTGGCGCATCACAGGTTGGATGATTGTGCCCTTCGCGATCCATGAAACAAGCACCAGATATTGGTGTTACTTATTCACACAAACTCCTGTTACATGTCAATAGGATGCCCTGATGCCCTGATGTCGTTCATTGGCAAAGACAGGCAACAGCTCAGAAAAATATGAAGTGGGGGTGCGCAACCCTGTTTTTCAGAACTGTATGTGACAAGCATACAATATTCTTAGTGTGATCTTAATGTGGCAGAGAAACAGTGAGTTGGTTTCTGGCTTTCATCCAATTTCCTGTCATTGGGAGGTTCTACGGATAAAAAGTGCCTGGGGTATATTAATAAGTGGATAGATAGGTGTATACATGAGTTATTCATCCTTCATTTTGGTATATTATGTGGAAGGAAGGAAGGAAGGAAGGAAG